CGGACACAACATCTTTGTTGGTATGTGGTGCTGAGGATCGAACCCGGGCCGCATGCATGCCAGGCATGGCGCGCTACCGCTTGAGCCACATCCCCAGCCCATTGTTACCCCTTTCTAAAAGTAGACATAACTGCATTTATGAATAACTGCTTCTATATGAATCTGATTTTGACTTCTTTTTTCATTTTCTTTCTCTCACAGTTCTTATAGTTGTGAAGTACCATACTTGATTTGATGACAGAGATCTTCATTAAACAAGATCTGGGACAATAATAATTAAAAGATTGCTGTATAATTTAAATGGAATATATGTATATAACTTTCAAAACTTCTTTTCCAAGAAACTAAGAGTCAAGTATCACTTCAAATTGGAACATTGAGAATGTTCAGTTAACTGCTTCCTTTCTAACAAAATGTGCTTATGATAATTATGTTTAACACAAAGATAACTTTACGTTGCTATATTCCAAGGTCTAATTTGAAACTAGATACTTGCCAGTTTATTATTTGTGTATATAGTTAAATACTGATGACAGTGTTTCATACCAGTGTTTTAGTGGCACAAGGACTTGTATTATTGCATGGAGATGGGGTCAGTCTGGGGTCAGGAAGCCTCTGTAGCATACCAGACTATTAAGCTAAGAGATGTACAACCACAACATTTGCAAGAATATCATTCTTTTCATTTTATGGTTGCTTTGAAGCAGTTTCCACATGTTTATGGGTGTAACAAAAGCTAAATGTTGTCAATGTTTCTGCCTTCAGCTATAACTAAGAACATTCCAGTAAACCCACTTCTAATTATACAAGGGAATGGATTATAGAAATAGGAAATTCAAACAGAAAAAAGGCCTAGTATGGCACCATAATCTGGAGACAATAAAATTATTGGAGAATATTGTTGACATGTTTGAAAGTGACCAGTACTCATAGCTACCAGTTGTGGTCTAGTCAGTTGTCAATTAACTCCAATAAGAAGGGACCAGTCCTAGTGTGTGTGAATAAAATCCACAGGTAACTTTTTCCTTAATTTTACTTTGGTTAGTAGTTCTTCTCTTTGACTTTAACCTTTTTGCCTGAAATGCTGAGGTGGGCCCAGTCAGCTGTTCGGATTTCCTATCTGTGTTCTGATCCACCTCACAGGAGCAGATGTTGCACAGTCTAGTCAGAAGAGCCGACAGGAGTGAGTAGTAAAACTTGGGGGCGCAGGCCCTTCTGTAGACGACCAGTCAGCAGCCTAACGCTACGGGGTCACCGATAATCTCAGCCTGTTTTTATAACGATAAAGTACATTAATATAAAAATGCGCCAACCTCCTTATACTGTTCAAACAAGTGAAGATGCAGAATAAGCGTGTTAGGAGGAAGCATTGTGATAAAACCAGATTCTTCAGGAACTTGTGCACATGGACATCCTAGGTTGGAGGGGGCAGAAGTAGGCTCCTGGAATTCACCGATATTTAAGAGAGTTAATGAACAATCCAGTTTAACAGATTTCATTTCTTTGATCATTTTAATTTAAAATGTCCAAAACATAAAATTTGAATGTGTTTGCTTGATTAATTCTACATTATTAGTACCAAGAGGCAAAATATTCTATTTAGAATAGAAAGAAATTTGGAGAAAGTGGGTCAAAAAATACTTAGGACACTTAAATTATAAAGATCTAAGTAGCTAAATTTTATAATGTGCTTGAAGCATTGGAAGAGATCTAGGCGTTACATACTGAGGGTGAAGTTTCTGGTGTCCGTCTCCTTCTCTAGGTGTCAGTTATACAAATAGCATCTGAACTGCTAGTAAATCCTGTGACAAAGGAGGTTATGCAAAAAAAAAATGAGCACTTTTAGACTTTCAGTAGCTAATAGTTCAGGAATGGAAATGTTTTAACTGAATTGGCAGAATCAATCCTGATATATGTATGTATTTTATTTAGATTGGAACAGACTTATAAATGGTTAACTTTCCGTTAGTTGGTGTGGAAATCTGGTTTCTTTAAAATATATATTGGCAAAGATGAAGATTGTTTCTTAAAGACTCCACATTTCTAGTGTTTCTCTTAGTAAAAGTCTGCTACTTTCAAAGACATAATTATTTAAAAAGTAAAATTATTTTTAAAATTTTTAATCATAAAAATAAAGGAACTATTTATATGGCATTATTGTACATATGCAGTTGTGTTTGTATTTAAATATATTGCTGCTGGGAATACTGGAGGTGGACAGGTGACTCTGGGAACTTTGCAGTAGTGGTGGCTTGGTTCACAGCTTATCATTTTGTCTGTCCTGGTGTTGATTAATCCTGAGACCCTTAAACGGGCTGGCACTTTTGTGACATTATTGTGGTAACACTGGAGACAGCCATTTTAAGATCAAGAAGCAGAGTGGTTCACATTGATGCCACACCTACGTCATTCCTCCCTTAATCACTCTTTTTCTCATGCAGCTCAGATCATCCTGCACTGGAAAAAATGAAGTTTACCTCCAAAACTGTCAGGATTTAACAACAGTGAAGAGAACACAGAAATTCAAATAGCTTTGTAAATAGTGGTTGGTACTGGGTGAAATCAGGTCACTGTTTTTATGTGTGAAACTTGCCCTCGTGACTTGTGTTTAACTGCAGAGACCTCGTCTTGCAGCAGTTTTGAGGTTAACTGGTCCTCCTCCTGATTGTCAGTCAGTAATACAGGTGGGCTTTTGCTCCTCTCTTCTAACAAAGCTCACTAGAAAATGCCCTGAGATGTTATAAATGGGGAGATTTCTTTATTAAAGGGAAGTTCAATATCAAAGCTAGAACATTGCCTACAATGGAGGGAGGCTAACTAGTACACCCTCGCGATAGCTCCCTGTGGACTCCTGCTGGTGTAGTCTTTCTGTGCATTTCTGTACGCTGCGTTAGGAAATTATAATGTTGCCGTTCTTATTACACAAATTGGCATCTTTGAGTCCTGTGTGGCATGCAGGTGTCCTGTGGCTGCTTCTGCGAGCATGGACTGAGGTCTCTGTTGCCAGCACCTTCTTTAGCGGGCTCCATGTGCTGTCACCACCCTGGCTCTGTGTCCTCATCTGGAGCTACACTGTGGTGAAAATATGCAAGAACATGTGCCACTAGGTGTCTCTAATTGTGTCGTGTCAGAGTATCGCTCGGTCCAGGGGTGTTCTGTTCGTCTAATTTTGTCTTCACGTGGAAACGATCTTGGGGGCTGTGACCGGGGAGTCAGTGTGAATCAGCATGAACACATTTGAGCACGCTGTGTGGTGTTGACATCAGTGCAGGAAATCGCCACAAAGCAATTTAAAGACACCGTGGCTCATCAGAGACTGACAGGTGCTGTACACCTTGATCCCTACGTAGTTGTTTTTTTTTTTCATGCCATAGACAAACTGGCACCAGCCCTTAGACAGATGCAGGGTATGGGTGGAGTTTTTTTGTTTTTTATTTTGTTTTTGAGATGGGGTCTTGCTGTGTTGCCCACTCAGAGTAGCCAGGACTGCAGGCATGTGCCACCATACCTGGCTTTTTAAGTTTAATGTTAGTCTTACTCGATCTTTGTTTTTGTTTTTCCTGCCCCCCCCAAAAAAAATCAATTAGAATGAGGGATATGGACATAAACTCTTTGATTCTGAGTGTGAGGAACACATGGGTAGAAATTAAAAGGAAAGCATGACTGACCCGGTTTTAGGGGAATACACATAAGGGAGAGCAAGGACTGCACCATGCTCCCGTGTCTCACCAGCTCCCTGCACAGAGCTGCGTGCTCGGCAGGGGCTAGATAAGTGTGCACTGCTTGAAAGTCACAAAAACACCAGTGTAAGAGCCGACTGCAACACTGTTCCCTGGAGAGGGGACATGGTTGACAAAACAGTGGGACCTTCAGCTTTACCTAGAGAGAATAGTTCTTATACTAACTCAATATAGAAAATTCTGATTTTACAATATGCATTAGGTTCTTTTCATTTGAAGAGGTCATGAAATCAAGTCACATATTAATTACTTTATGGCTGCAAAGTAAATTGCATAAATCAGAGATTTTAGTAAAATGTCAAAAAAAAAACTGAGAAAATTCAAGCACTTGATTTTATGTCTTGGGTATATGTCTTCTTTTTACCTTCCACCTTCTTTCACTCAACTGTTTGCTAAGTGCCTTTGACATTTTAGATGTATGCTGGGAGTTGACAAATGTAAACGTCGTGTGCCCTGTTCTTCAGCTTCTTGATTCCTTATAACCATTTTTTACCAGTGTTGCCAAGTTTGGTCCTTTGTGTGTATATGAGATATGTATTTGTAGCCTCTCCGTAGTAAACAGTGAAATAAACTATTTCATAGAAAATGAAAATTAAGCATTTTGGCTTTTCAGTATGTGTCACCTGTTGCCTAAATTTTAAAGCACAGTTTATTTAGAGTAACATCTGCATAATCACCCATGGTTTAGTTCATCCCAATTTGCCAATAAAATACATTGCTTCACCAAAAACTATGCCAGTGTACAACCTAATGATGAAATCGAGAATTTCTCAGTGTGAAGTCACCGAGTCTCAGTCGCCGGCCGCCGGGGCCGGCAGGGAGAATCGGTGGAACGCTCATGCTTCATCTCCTGACGTCTGTTTGAAAGACAAATCAATCTATGTGTCCCAAGCAGAAAACTCGGCACCTTTCCCTCAGCTTCATGGTGCTGCTCTCACAATAACGTGGAAATGGCACATTCCCTCCAGACTCCCTTTCCACACACTAAACTATGTCTTCTTGATAATTTTTAAAAGCATAGGAAGAGGATATTGGGGCACCTGTACCCTGAGATGTACAGTCTCTCACGGGGCTCTCAGCAGGCACCCTGGTAAGTGCATCCTGAGGGTGTATTAAGTCAAGTCCGCCCCTGGGCATGCGGAGAAGCAGCAGCACCAGATCCTCTGCAGCCAGCAGTCACACCTCGTGAATGTCCGTTAGATGCTCAAAACTGCTGTGGAGCAGGGAACAGCCATGGGTGTGAGGATCTGGACTAGTAGCCAAACGCAGAGCTGAGCAGGGCCAGGGCGGCACCTGTTATGCAATGGGCCAGACCCCGGCTGAGGGTGTGTGAAAAAGTGCACACCAGGAGGGCCAGCACCTCGGATAGTGCCAGGTATGTGCAGACTCGCTGCTCTTATTCCTTCCTTAACTCTCCCATGCCCTGTCGGCTTTGCCCTGCGTCTCTGTCCTCTTTATAGGGGTGGTCCTTGGCCTGTTGATCCTGGCTGTTTACAGTTCTTAGCTCATTCTCTTACTTTAATATACAACCAGGTCAGGCCATTCCTTTGCTTAGGCTCCCCCCTCCCCGGTGGAAAAGCTGAAGGTGTGATGTGTGCACCTGAGGTCCCAGCACCCAGAAGGCCGAGGCAGGAGGGTCACGTGAGCTCTCCAGTGTGAGACCAGCTGGGCAACACAGTGAGATCCCGGGAAAAAGGAAACACCTGCCACGTCTTCACACCTTCCCTCCTGCAGCCTGCGGGCCTCGGGTCTTCCTGAAGCCCTTTGTGACCTCTGAGCCTGTGCCCTGGCTGGGCTGGGCTGCGCTGTGCTGGCCTCACTGCCCTCAGACACCCGTGTGCTTCCGCCTCAAGGCCTCACTTGTCCTGCCTTGGATGGTTTCCCTGAATGCCTTCATGACTTGGTCAGACTTCGCCTCTGCTGGCTCCCAGGAGTGCACCCTGCAGGCCCTCCCCTCCACCTTCCCAGAACATTTAACCCTTCTGACACTTGACACTAAGGGTGAGCTTCGTGACAAGAGGGACCTGTCTTGTTCTCTGATGGCAAGTGTCATAGTGAGTGCTCAGGCAATTCAGTGAATGGGTCGGTTATCTGAGATACAAAGGGAGACCATGATTTTGAAAATGATGTACCACGAGAACCAAACCGACTTGGCGTGCATCAGCACCTGCTATTAAAAGCACGGCCTCCATAACTCAGGAAGTCACAGAAAAGCAAAGGTCAAGCACGATTAATGCATCTGGAAGACAATTTAGGTCTGAGAAAAGAAGAACAAGGTAAAATAATTTGCCAGGAGGCAGGTTGCACAAATATTAAGCCCTTCACTGAAGCAGTAAGTGGTGGAATTCCCTGAAGAAAACCAGTGATGCAGAAGAGAGGCTCAGGAGGCTGCCCCAGAGCAGAGGGGAGGTCACCCCGTCAATGAAGAGGGTGAGGACGGAGCTAGGAGGGGAGAAAAAGAAGATAACAAGAATCACACGGTGCCCCCCCAAATAGAATGAGCATCGTGGTTTTTTTCTTATTAAAACTCAAAGTCCTATGAGACCAAAAGCCTTTGTCAAATTTAAGAACAGGTGAAGATGCGTTGGAGGCTGAGGGCACAGCTCTGCAGAGCGTTTGCCTGCCATACATGGGGCCTGGAGACCAATCCCCAGCACCAAGGGGGAAATCCTATGAGCACTGAGGCTGGAAAAACTGGTTACCTGCAAGGAAGCAAAAACTAGGTGTCTCCGTCTTCTCCATCACCAAACCGCAGACACGAACAGCATGTATAGACTTCCATTCCCAGCCAGTTATCACACAAGAGAATCAAAAGCAATATTCTTAAAAACATGAGGGTTCAGAAAATACGACATCCTGCCTCTTAAAGAAAAATTACTGGAAATTTACATAGTGCAGTCAGCCAAGAGAGAAACGGAAACTGAGTGTTAATAAAATCAGATCATCTCATTCTTAAAACCCTGTGATGGATTCTCATTGCCCTTTCAGTAAAAACTAGACTTCCTGTCTTCCTTGGTCCCACCAATTGTCACCAGCTTGGTGTATTAGGTCACAGCTCAAACAATTTAAAAAGTTTAATAAAAGTGTGGGTAGGACCTAAACTACCAGGAACAGTATGTCTCCTGGGCTTGAAGGGATGTGGAAAGGGAGTGGTCACCAAGATGGAAGGAGAAGATTTGTGGGCAGGAAACAGACACCTGACCTCTTCTTTCTTCCTTATGATCTGATTCTAGGACTCCCCGTTTTTAAGCCAAACTAGAAACCAGAGGGAAGGAAACCGAGTGATCTGTGTGATCCATGCCGGTCACATTCTAAAAGGGTCAGAAGTGCATCTGGTGCCCAGACACCATTCCCACCATAGATGCTGTGGAAGTTGAATGTTGGCTGCTAATGGCTCACAGCTGCCCCCTTCTCTGGAGAACTGCTCTCAGCCAAAGGGAACATTTCACCTAGGAACTGTACTCATCCCCTGGGGGTACCCTGGAGCCAAAGACTGTGACCCCCTTGTCTCAAGGTGGATCAACTCATGCTGTACAAGCTTCAGAGGCTGGACAGAGACACACACACGCACACACCCTAGACTACCTAGATAACCACATCCTTGCTTGGCTATTTCCCTCCTTATCCTGCATCCCTTAATCCCTTAGAGATGTTGAGCCCTCCCCCCCAAAATCACACACCCCTGCATCCCTGCATCCGACTATTCCTAAGGAACTGTAGGTGGTTGGTACTAGAGGTGGTCCTAGAAAACCAGACTGGGACTCTGGAGCTGATGGCCCTCTGCTGGGAGGCGTAAGGACGGCACCCCTGGCTGGTGTGGTTTGAATATCAAGTGCCCCCTAAGCTCCTGTTAAGGCAGGAGTGTTCAGAGGCGAGATGATTAGATGTGAGCGCTAGCCTAATGTGTCCCTCCTAGTTTGAATGGACTGAGGGCGGCAACTGTGGGCAGGAGGGGTGTGGCTGGAGGAGGAGGGTCCTGGGGTGTCCCAGCAGGGTGCATCTTCCCTGAGGCCCCTCCCCACTCCCTGATCCACCTTGAGCCAGCAGCTCTTCTCCACTGGGCCCTTCCCCCACCATGTGCTGCCTCACCTGGGCCCAGAGCAAGGAGTCGGCCTTCTGTGGACTGAGACCTCTGGGCCCACGAGCCCCAGAGGAGCTTGTCCTCCTCCTAGTTGTTCCTGTGAGGTATTTTGGTCACAGGGACATGAAAGCTGACACTGGTGGTGAGTGGAGTACTGACCCCAGTGGCCCCTGACCCACAAGTGTTCACCTCCAGTGCAGTGGGAGGTCCCAGGGGAGGGGATGCCCAAGAGCAAGCCCAGAGCTGGCGCTGGGCAGGAACGGAGATACAGTAATTGTAGGGACTTGGGAAGAGGTGGCTGCTGCCAACACCAGAGCTTTGAAAAAGGAGAGTGACAGGTGCAGGCCATTATCAGGATCGAAAGCAAAATGTGAGAATTAGAAAAACTCACTGGAAGTATTTAAAGAGACCTTCGTTCCCTGGAGCTGGAGAGCAGGCAGCGCTGCAGGCCAGACCCAGACCCAGCGTGGGGCAGCTGACTTTGGAAAAGGACGCCCTCTCAGCCTCGGGGGTCCCCTCTGCCAGGTTCCAGGCCCTGGTTGGAGGGAACAGTGCCTAGAGATGAGATGGGGTGTCTGGGTAGATGCACCTGAGAACCTTGAATCCTCAGATTCCCCGGAGCCCTCTGGCCTGCAGAAGAGAATCCCCTGGTTGAAAGGTAAAGACCTGTTTCCCCTTCAAGGTTTAAAGCTATGCCATGGCCTCAAACAAGGCCAGAGCCTTCCAAGATAATGCTGGCCCACCTTGAGACCAGCCCAGCTCCCTGCCTGGCCACGCCCCACCACCCCTGGAATCAAGGCTGGGAGTTGACAGTTTGCTGGCACTTGCACAGATGGTGGGTGACAGAGGGGAGGCGGGAGCCCAGGAAGTAGCTACCAATCAGTTCCCTTCAACTTACACAACACTCCAGGTTGATGTGCCGCAGGGCCGTGCTGTGAGGGGCAGTGGGCAGAGGCCGCGGGAGCCTGATCTGAGAGCTTGCTGGTTCTCCGGCTGCCAGCGCCGGTGTCATGGCAACCCTGTTGCCCATCAACCACTTGCTGCAGACGTTCCTCATTTCCCAGCCCTAAATCTCCCTTCTGAATCGACTCAGACCCTGGTAAGACCACGTTTGAGTCACCTTTGCTCCCAGCCCAAACCTGACACACAGTGGGTGCTTTATATGTGTTAAACATTGGTTAATTTATTTAATCATCATAAAAATAAGTATCCTGAGGCTGTACCTCTACTTGTCACTTATTTATCCAGTCACAAATAATGATTGACCCCTCCCCCGACTTGCCAGATGCTCTCTCTCCTCTCCTGAGCTCCTCTTTGTCATTTCTCCTTTCCCCTTGTCACTGGATCAAGGATGACAATGGTGGCAACTGTCATCAGTGCCAAGGTGCAGAGCAAATACGACCATATTCCCACTCCCTGCTCTCAGTCTCTTCCTGCTTTCAGCCCTCATATAACCCATATTATTGGCAAGTTTGTCTTCCTAGTCCCTCTCCTTGGGGTGGCCTACAGAA